CCTGCTGATTCAGCTCTTGTTCTTCCCTGGTTGCCTGAAAACTAGGCCCAGTATCTTCACTGCCAAACTATTTCTCTTTTTAAGGCTGGGAATTTGAAAGATTTTCAGTTCAGTTTTCTATCTTTTTTGAACTTCTTGATCTCACACAGACCTTTTAACTCAACAGTCCAGAATGAGAACATTTACTGCCTTGGTAGATTAGCTGCATTTTTGGTGCTCTATATTTGTGTCTGAATTTTTTTTTTTTTTGTTAGCCTGATCATCTGGCCACTGTTAGCTCTGTCCTGAGTGATCAAATCTATTCAAAGACAGAAAGGTATGTTAACTCTGTAAGCGTAGGAAGTATGTTGCTTATTTGTGTTTTGTATTGTGGTAGACTAATATGAGCGCAGAAGAAATAGCACTTGCAGAAGAGAACATGCACTCAAAGTATTAAACAAGAGGTAATAACTAGTTGTAGATAAAGCTCACAAGCGAGACCACGTTGATTAGCACGAGTGAAATGCATTTGCAGTGTCCTAGCAACCCGGTTTGTGTTCTCCATAAAAGAGGAGGACTGAAAGCAATTTATATTTCACCTATTTACAAGATTCTTCATTGAAATCTGAGCAAATGCAAGAGGGAGAGTCAAGGTTTTAGGTTTGAAAAATCTCACAGATGGACCAGGGAGGCTCCTAGCAGATAGAAGTGAGCCTGTTGATACTGACCAAGATAAGGAGAACTGAAACAGATGCTAGAGAGAGATATGATTCTTAAAATTAACTTTTACAATTTTGAGTTTCAGGATTTTTATCTTAAGCAGTTATTACAAGGAAATAGGAGGGAGGCCAAAGTTGTAACTAAGGAATCAAGGACTTGCAATATATGCAGCTCTTTCATTGTCCTTCTCTGTGGTCTTTTGTCATGGTAATTTATCTTACTTAGCCTACATCTGACAAAAGAACAAGTTCGTGGATACAAAAGATATGTGTAAGTACTAATTATTTTGTTAGATCTTAATACAAATCAAGGTTATTAGACTTAAATAACCTCTTGCCAGGAGGGTATGTGCAACCCAACTGTGATATCTGGCACTCTGTCCTGCTATCGAGCTCATTCGGAGAGAATATGATCTACCTTGGGAACAACAAATTTGCTTTTTGCAATTTGTGCTTATGAAGGGAAGCAAAAAAAACCTCAACCCCAAACCCATGCTTTCTTATTGCAAATTTTTACTTTACAACTTCACTGTATATGTCTATATTACTGCATTTAAAAATTAGATTTTAGTATTCTGCCATCTCTTTAGACAAAGTGGGTACATGCTAGAAGAAGAAACTTCTATGTATATTCTAGGAAATTTTTCATTCTTGTTATCAACGAGCGACTTGTTAGCAATTTCTCGTAGCAGTTCTTCATCTGCTAGGAAGAAGAAAAAAGGTAGGCTTACTGGAAGAGGAAGCACAAAGGAAGCTGCCTTCTTGTTTCTTGTGCTGGTTCTGTTCTACACTGAAATGTGGCTCTAAAGATACATACGCTTTTGCCCAAATAAAGCGAATAGTAACTCTTGGCCTCAAACTCCTCTGACCTCTGCAATCAGGAAAATGGAGTATTCAGTAATGTTAGAGAGGGATTTTGCAAAAGAAGCAAGAACCAAGAGCTTAACCATGAGTCTAGTTCGTTCACAACTTGAGTTGGCCCACAAAAATCTTTCGTGAAGTTGTACTTTGTGAATTCTGAAGCCTTGTAGAAAGGGCAGCTGATTTTTTTTTTAATTTTCAGAGAACAGACACTTTGTTTAACTTCAATAAAAGTAAATGCAGTATTTTAACATTTAGATGTGTATTACTTATACAGAAGCGTTGAAATATCATTTTTTGGCTTTTATTTAATGGGAAATCCCATTTTAATTTTTGGAGTGAAGTATGAGAATGAATGTAAGATTATTTTTTTTAATTATTTTTCCCTGAAAAAGTTAGTTTGAGACTGATGCTTGAATCTTTTCACGGACTGCTAAAAATGGTCATGAAGATAATTCTTGTATGTAATTTTTTCCAATGCTTTTGCCTTTTATAGGTTTCATTATAATCTGTGCTTGTTTGGTTGTGGGGGATTTTTTTGGGTGGGTGTTTTTTTCAATTCAAGAGGGTTTTTTCCCTTTTTATATATGTGTGTTTTCTAAGAACCTGTGTCTGTAATGACATTAAAAGCAGAGTAGCTGCATAATGATGGTGTATTAGTGGCTTGATGCCTTTTGCTGTGAAGTCCTTGGACTAATGGTAACACAAATATTTTTTTGTTTGTGGCCCTTTACAAAGTGACTGAAAATCACTTCACAGGCTTATGGGTACATTAGTTATGGAAGTTTACTGGCCTATTATATTCTGTTGCTCGATGTTACATCGCTGGCTCAACTTGTGTGGTCACTTTACGTTAAGATAAAGAGGATAATGAGGTGCTGCTAAAGCAGAGTGAATACTTCTGGCCTCTGGTTTACACTCATTGCACAGTGGTGTGATGGTACATCTTTCTGGGTAAAGAGGAGTTTATGCCTTATACCAAAGCATTCTTGAGTTTCTGCCTCAAGATTTTTCTTTTAAAGTCCTTAGGTGTAGACTCCTTTGCCACTGAAACGTGGTAGAAACTTTGGCAGCTTAACTAAAAGAATAGTTTCATAATGATGGGGGAGGGAGTTTATAACATGGTGGTGTATATGAAGTCCTGGATGGGGCATGTTATTAGTAATCATAATTTTTTTTTTTTAATTGTGACTTTAAAAAAAAATAATCTGTGTACATAGAGCTTCCACTCCTAACACATTTACATGAAGGGTATGTCCAGCCTGTGTGTGTATGTGGATTTTAAAAAAAAGTCCTCTAAGTAGTTCAAGAAAAAATGCTATTACTGGCTTGCTGAGAGAGGATTAATTAGGAAATGTCTTCCCTTATCTGGATTTCTAGAAGTTACAGTGGTTCACTTCTTAGCAGAGAATTATTATACAGAATGACACTAGATGCTGTATTAAATAATTATGTTGTTATCTATTTGTTCTCTGGGGCTTGGTATATTGGTTAAATTTGAAGTTACTTACTAGACAGCTGTTCAGATGTCAGATGAAGGGTTCAGCTTGAAATAACTTGTAATGGAGTGTGGTATGTTTTAATAATTAAAAGTCAGGGAGAATCTAGACATTTGGGAGATCTTCAGGAGGATCTTTTTTGCATAAATATTAGCTTTACTCTGCATACCTTTTATTCCCTCCCCCCTCCCTTTTCTCCAGTACTGATACTCGAAAAGGTGGAAAATGGAGATCTGAGCAACAAGATATTGAAGATCACGGATTTCGGCTTGGCCAGGGAATGGCATAAAACTACCAAAATGAGCGCAGCTGGGACATATGCCTGGATGGCTCCTGAGGTCATCCGCTCCTCTATGTTCTCCAAAGGCAGCGATGTGTGGAGGTATTGATTTGGCATTAAGTGATTGGATACTAAAGCTAGACCTGCCAGGAAACCTCTTTTATGTCTAAAAATGAGTAATGGTGAACCAAATATTAAAATTCAGGTCTTAAGAAAACTTTATCCACCAGCTTTCCATCTGTCAGACTCTCAGACTACTTTGTATTAATTGTAAATTTTTTTTTTTTTTTACTGAAGAAAGTGATGGACCAGCTCCTGCATGCTTCTCAAATTTTTGTTGTTCTATAGTTTTACATTCAGATTATCCTATATGCTGGATTCATAATTCCAATTCCCTCTGCTTTATCTAAAACAAACTTTTTGTGCTTATTTGGCTATTGGCTAACATAATCAAAGGCCATAAAAAAAATCTGTGAAGTACTTAAAATTACTTTTTTACTGTTTTACCACCAGTAAGAGAAGTTTATGTTTTGGTAGTAATCTATCACTGATGCATATGTACACAAACACACTGTACCTAATCGAATTCCTCATGCAGTTTCAGCCTGAATATAATTTTTTTCTCTCTTTAATAATAATTGTATTAATTATTTCCACCCTTCCAGTCATTCACATAAAACAATAAAACTCTTCTCTAGGTCCATCTCAGTATGTAATCCATAAGTAGTGAGTGATTTGCAGGTATATATTGTGTTTTCCATTCATGCCCTGGGATTTTTGAGAACAGGAACCACTATGGTGGGGAAGAATGTAAGGGTTGGTCCATAGACTTCCAGAATTGAGTTTGAATAAGACCATTAAGTGAATTGGTAAATCTGGAATTCAGTAAATAGTTCTAGGACACTGACTTTTCTAGATGCTGTGTGACATAGAATTAGTATTGAACATCTGAAACAGGTAAAGTAGATGGAATTTTTTTTTCCCTGTGGGGACAGAGGTATTGAAATGTCAGGGTGGCTTTGTCTTTAGAGCAGTGAGATTCTGTTGCTGGCCAGTAATGCTCCTGTGCATGCTGTGAAATCTGTCAGGATAAAGAAATGTCCCAGCTAGCAGAATTGTCTGGCTGTTATGAGAGAGATTTGGTGTGGAGATTTTAATTTTCCTTATTCAGTTTTGCTGAATAGATAATGTATTGCTTGTGATAAGTGCGTGAATTTGTATTTTGCACATTGATGGCATGGATAAAATTCTGACTCTGTAATTAAATGTGGTACCCTCTGTAGCTGATCTGAGAGGAACTGAGCAAGAACCAGGCTTTTATTGTGAATGAAGTCTGGCAGAAAGAAAAACCTCAAGGCTGTGCACCTTTTCTCTGCACATGATGACAGTACTGATTTGTACACAACTTGTCAGGCTCAAACCTCAATTTGCGCTTCTCTGAAACAGTGCCATGAATGGCCTTTAAGGGTAACCTGGGGGAGAGGGAGAAAGGAAGGGGGGGGAACAATTTCTCTGTCATTGTAACGTTACTAATCGAGGCACGCTGTGAACAGATCAATAGATGTTCTGTACCAGTATGACCTCGTTTTTTAAAAAGATAAGACTTAATAGGTCAGTTGGTGATTTTCATGAAGGTAGTTCAGGTGCCTCTATACCAGTTTGGTCATTGACTTAAGGACTGTGAATCACTTCCGGACTTCAGGATTGTAAATAACTTAAATTTTTTGTTAGTTTTGCAGAATATTGTATTTCTATTTTTAAGATTCCTTCATCACTTTCTCTTTTTATAGTTACCAGTCTTCCCTTGAAAACAGGTTGAGTTCCTTTCATTGCTCTTCCTTAAACAGAGGGTCATCAGCATTAAGAGAGCTGTTATACTGTCTCTGAATAAGTCTTCTGTTTCTGGTGGCCAAAACCTTGAGTCATAGTTAAATAAGCTGAAAAAAGCGTGGTGTTTGAGGCATGTCTGCAGAGGACAAATACTTGCCAGTGCAATCACTACTAGTGTGTCACTGATTGTAAGCACTGGATTTTACAAAAGCAGTCATGGACATGTGTAATAAATCCTGTCCCCACCCAAGGATGCAACTTGAAATTCTTAACAGGATGAACTTCTTTATCCTATTAGACTTGCCCCTCCTCCTGTCCACTTCAACCTCTTGGTTAATCACTGGAGTATAAGGAGGTTTTTTGCCTGACAACCTTCCAGTTAGTCTATGTGGCATCAACAAAACTGGCTGTCTCTGTCCCTAACATTCACGAACCCTTTTAGTTCAACACGTTTTCTTTAAAGCTTATTAGAATAATACTGCTGGCTGAATTGACGCCCAGCCTTTTAACAAGAATCTTGTTCTGCTTGTGTTCTCGCTGCACAAACAGCTGAAGAAGATGCTTGCCAGGACTGAAATTTCCTGAGTCAGTCTTATCTCATCATAAATAACTGCTTCATGCAATTCCTTTCAAAGCATGTGTCAAGCTCCATTTAAAAAACTCAATCTGGGTTTTTTTTTTTTGGTCCCACTCTAAAGGAGGCTTGGCAAAGAGCTTAGAAAGCTGAAGAATGCTCCCACACACTGGTGTCTATCACCAGGGTCTGGGCCACTGTAAAGCTTGTTGGTAATAAAAGGTACTTAGTACATCTTGCTAGTGAAAATTTATTGCTATGAATTTTGCTGTGCTGCACCTACAAGCTTTAGATATACAGCAGAAACCTTGTGCTTATATTGCACAGAGGACAAAAGCTATGGTTTTATTTAAATATGTCAGTTTCTATAAATCTATTTATGTGTTTGAGAGGAGAGTTACGTATTTGCTTTGGATTTACAGGGGTGAAGTTGAAGCACAGATGTTGCAGCTTATCCAGTACTGTACACCAAGTAATGTTAGTAGGCATATAATTGAAATTTCCCTGTCATTTTTAACTGCTTAAATGTATTTCTTGTTTGCTGCACACTTGTGCTGCTTAAAAGACAATCATGTTGTCAATAGGATTGGTATGCGGAATATAAAGCCACCATACAACCTTCATCTGAGTTCCTGTGTTCCTCAATTTAGATGCTTTTAAGATGTATCTATTGAGACTAGTGAAATAATTAGGAATTTAATTTTAATTTAGGAATGGAATACTAGGACTACCTAAAACCATCTGATTAGCAGATCAGGATGTTTTAGGCATTCAGTGGTGGGTGTAGGAACTTCAGTCACAACTGACTGCTTGCAGGCATCTGTAGTCTTCTGTGCTGGCCGATAAATGTTGATTGGCAATATTGGTAGAAGCTCATGTGGGAGAAATGTATACAACTGACTGTTGTGAAATAAGCAGGAAGGTCATCTCTGGAACTGCCAGTCTGATAACATGCAAAATGCTCACTGTTAATAGCCATTAAAATGTAACGAAGGGTTTTTTCCTTAACAAAACTAATATTCTCATTTCTCTTGTTGCTGGGATCTCCTTGTTGGGGTGGTAGTTCCTTTCTCGTGGAAAGTGCTGAACCTAGGAAGATGGATAAGATGAACCTATGGTACAAGTGCCATTGAACAGTGAGAAGAAATAACCGTTTTTTTCCAAGTTCTTAGACTTGCAACAAGGGAGGTGGCAAAAATCACATGTGAAATCTGCAGACCTCCAGCCTCCTTCTCTCTGAAAATCCAGTGTGTAGGATTGAACCTGATGTTAAATGGTTTAAAGGATTACTGGATTGCTGGGAGGTGGTGAATTATTCATACAAGTGTCAGTTGACTTGGACGCATGGTCTGTATCACATGGTTCATTTTGTAATTAAAGTCCAAAAATTACTACTGGGTGCTGGAAAAATAAATGAGCTTGATCAGTTTTTCTTCCTCCCTGTTGAGAATGAGGTGAGACCCTTCATTCTTTCTATGCCTTTTTTTGTATAAATGTCTTCTGTCTCTGGCTTTTTGCTTTGTAATTCCCAATCCCCTGCTTGAGCGTTAATGGAAAACGCTCTGTTCACCACCTCTCTTGCTGTTTAATCACTTGGGATGATTGCTGTTCAAATGCCACAAAGCAGCGTTTCCCTAGTTCTGTGGAAGCAGTATTCTCAGCAATGAACTGTGAGCACACATGGAAGAGGTCGTGTTCAGTTTTGTCAGAAACAAAGTGACCTTTCCTGCAATATGTATTTCTAGTGTCACATTAGAAGAAACACCAATCTCTCCATTCCTTTGTCTATTAAACATTACACTGGACAAGAAATACTATGAGCACATCAATAGTGCTTTCCTAACCGTTCCATTAAGAGAAATCTCTAATACACGCTTTATCCAGCACTAGTGGTAAAGTAATAACGCGACCCTTTGCTAGTTTTTCCTGCCTTTTGATATCAATACTTACATCCAAACTGAAGAGTAACAGGAGTGATCAATCAGATTTAGACAGGCCAGATATGTATTCAGTCCAGTATTCACTTTCTTTGAGTGTCTTATGAATACTACGAGGCCAAAAAGAAAATGGGAAATCCTTAAACTCCTGTTTATTTTTTTCAAATGAGGCTCTTTAAGACAGTGAGAAATTGAGAACTGTGATGGAAAGAAATAATCAATTATAATTATCATTATAATATCAAGATTATGAATTACATAGGAAAATTGCAAAAGATTGTATGGGTGAGAAAATTGCGATATTTTGATTAATAAAGTAATCAAGCTGTGTTAGCAGCAAAGGTGGAATCTCTAGTGACTGAAATTCCATATCTAAAAAGGAAAAGTAGTATTAAGATTGTCCAACTAAGGTGGCAGCAGTTACAATGAATGTTAAAGACTTGGAGGGATGGGGAACAGATTGCAAGAGTACAGGTTGTGATAATGAAAATTTTGATTACTCCCAAATGGATAGGGCAATTGTTGCTTTGAAACAGGAAGATATAAGTCTTTTAGTTTCAGATATGACTGTTTCATGGAGCAGCTATTCAGGGAGCTTTTAGGAGGAAAAACAGGTTTTCACTTGGTCTTCAAGTGTGATTAGGAGGCCTTAAAAATTGCACAATATGACTATGCTCAAAATATATGAATACTTAGATTCAATATTCTTTGCAAGAGCAATTAAGAAAAATTAGTCTGTTACAGTACTGCTTAATCTCAAGGAGATTAATGACAATATTGAGGAATTTTGTGTAAAAACAAGAAAAAGGGGAACGCACAACATGCATAGTATCTTTTAAGGACACTATGTTAAAGCTCAGAACGAATGCACAGGAAATACTTTAAATGACAAGGTAGAGGAGGCTACTGGAAGACATCCTTCAAAAAGTTGAACCTGTATCCAAATGAGGAAAACTAGGCATGGGCTTAAGTGCTAGCAAGTTGAACATAAATCACTCAAGAGGATTAGAAGGGTTTTGAGGAGAGTCTTGTGAAAAGCATAAAAACAAATAATTTTTTTTCAAATGCAGCACAGGTGAGAACTCTGCAGGAGAACATACAGCCCAGAGGTGACCAAGATGCAAGAACGAAAAGAAGATAAGGCTATAGAAAGTTTTTTCTGCTAAGTGACTTGTGTCTGCTAGAATGGAGCAGAGAGGGGCTTTTTCAGCTGAAAATTTCACTTTAAGGGAGCCAAGCTGGAGAACATCTCATACTGAAGTACTGTCCACAAAGGTGTTACAACTGTCTGATAAAATGAACAGTAACAAATTGCTGGGATTTACAGCAACACCCAAGACTTCTACAGTAACATGAGAGAGCCAGCTGAGTTAATAGCTATGCTGTGTAATCTGTTGCTTAATGCTGCCTTAATACCAGAGAAATGGAGGGCAGCAAATGTGATGACAGGTCTTAAAAGAGCTTCCTCAGAATCAGCAAGTCTGATTTTCAGTTCTGCTAAATGGTGGAAACAGCACTAAAGAGTGGGGAGCTGGTGGACATACGAACATATCTGGGGAAGCACATCAGCTTTTGTAGAAGGAAATCATATCTTTTGAAAAAATGAAAATTTTTGAAGGAGTTACTAGGTACGTGGACAAGTGATAAGATTGCTTATACCATATTTGGATTTATAAAAACTTTCAACAAAATCTTTTGTCAAAAGCTTTTAAAGAAAGTAAATGGATGTCAGAAAAGAGGGCAAGTCTGTTTCCCATCACTTAGTCAATTCTTAATTGCTAAAGGAATAAATCAGTTTTCTTGGTGGGGAATTCTGTGTTCAACATAATCATAAGTGATTTGAAAAAGAAGCAATAAATGGTTAGGTAACATTTTTTGATGATACCAAGTTATTCAGGATAAGAAAAATTAATCTACTGCAGAGAGCTGAGGAAAAGTTTTACTATACTGAATGATAAAATAGATGAATTGGTTATAAAGACAAAGTAGTACCCATGGGAGAATTTCACATGTACAATGATGGGCTATTTTACTATTATGATTCAATAAAAAGATATTGGAATTACTGTGGGTAACCTAGCTCATTTTGTAAGGAGTCAGAAAGGCAAGTGGCAGATGAAAATTTAATAGGAAAGAAATAAAGAAGAAAACAGGAAATACTGTGCTCTCCCCATATCTTTAAAACTTTATGTGATTTTGGTCATTCCAACATAAAAGGCTTAAATGGAATGAGATGGTACAGAAGATGTTAAGGTCAATGAAAGATAGGAAATGGCTTCTGTTCAGGAGAGTAACTAGATTAGGATTTAGCTAGATAAGGATTTTGGAGGCTAGAAAGAAGATAATTTAGGTAGGATAGAGTGGGAGCCTGTGAAATCATGGATGGCATGGAAGGAGCTAATAGGGAACATATGTCCACATCTTCCTTGTATTGAAAGAACTACAGGGAAGCAAACAAAATTACCAAGTGACAAGCTCAAAACAAACACACGGAACTGTTTTTTGGCAATGCATCATTAAATTTGTGGAACTCACTACCACAGAACATAGTGGATGGTAAATGGGTTCGGAAGAGAATAAAACAGATCAATGGAAGGAAAAAAATGTCACTAAGTATGAAGAAGTCATCCCTGGCTCAGGTTACCTAGAAGCAGAGAGAATATTCTGAGGATAGGTTGTTTGTCATATACCTGGGAGAACAGTCCTGGAATTATTACCATAACTTCATAGTTAATATTTCATAGAACATCTTAAGATCATTTTAATTCTGAAGAAGTATTTTTCACTTATTTTTAAAAATCAAAAGCCACCAAACAACCCTCCTTCACATTTTTGAGAGTTCCACTGGTTTCTGGTTTGAAATTTGCTAAATTAGTTTGAAGATTTACGTTAACGTTTTTCAGATTGTTCCCAGTTACCAGAGAGAAAATTACTTTTGCCTAAAAGGCAAAACCAGCATCTTATTTCAGTCTTACTTAAAAAAAGCAGGTAAAATAAGGTACTTCACTGGCTTGGCAGCCATGATGAGCTTGTCCGGAAAACTGCAATTTATTCAGTGTCCCAGACTCACCCTGATAGGTTCAGATCCTTTCTTGTTGCTTAACAAAGAATGTGTTAAAGTCAAACACCTACTCTCTTCTCTGTTTTCTTCCTGGTAGTTATGGCGTGCTGCTTTGGGAACTGCTAACAGGAGAAGTACCATTCCGAGGAATTGATGGTCTTGCAGTAGCATACGGTGTTGCCATGAATAAACTTGCCCTTCCAATCCCTTCCACGTGTCCAGAGCCTTTTGCCAAACTCATGGAAGGTAAGCCGGTTGTGGTGTGAATATGTTTTGCCCTGTTTCTAGAGTGCTGTTGAGCATTGCCACCTTCTTTTGATTTTGATGACACCTAAGAGCACAGATTGCTCAAATAGCTTCATTCAGTGGTGGAAGTTATTATGGGAGCTAGGCTTGGCTGTTCGTGTGCTCTGACGGTTACTCTATTACAAGAGTAGTATGTGAAGGAAATTTCCCTGCCATTTTTTATCAACTGGCATTATAGGAAAATGGGGGTTATTGCTGTCATCATCTAGCTTGCTGTTTTCTAGTAGTGAAGACTCACCAACACCAAAACTTCACATATTTTAGTTTGGTTTGAAGTCTTCAACTCGTTTTGAAATTCACAGCTTGAACATCTTTCTAGGCAGTGTCACATTGATTTGGAATGAAACTTTATCCTGCTGACGTTTCAAGGAGAGGGTTTAAATGTGGCTTTAACGTTTTGAAAACAACCCAAATTTTCAGTCAGAATGATATGATTTTTCTGCTTTGTGTGGAGATAGTTCATGCCCAAAGTGGGCTACATACATATAGATGAAAGAAATACAAGACTTTGTCATCAGAGCTGCAGTAGTTATAAAAAAGAATTCTGTGAGGTAGCTTTTGAGGTGTACCGATGTGACCTGCTCTGCTGGCTATTGCAACTACTTACATGTCTCCCGAGCTTCAGTTGTTCTTCCTTCCTTCCTTCCTTCCCTCCCTCCCTCCCAGTACTACCTTTAGTGTTTTTTTCAGTACCCCTATTTCCAAGGATTTCCAGGTGTCTATATGTAACAAACATTTTTATACCTCTCTGGCAGAAAGAAAAACTGAGTTAAAGAGAAATCAAACATGCTTTGTAGTCTTAGTGAGCAAAGAATGAGTCTGAACATAGAACTGGTATTCTGTGGCCTCTGGTGGTGTTTTTAGCCCCAAGAAAGGAATTTGATTCATGCAAGAAAATGTTTCTGATGGATTTCTCTGTTTTTAGAATACTTTTGCGTTTCTCTGGTCTTTTCTGTAGGTTACAGGCTTTGGTTAAGTAGAAAATTACAGGTACTACTGTGCTAAAAAAGAAATATCTTACTGGATAGTAATCATTAGCAGAGTTGCAGGTATAGTAGCAATGTAAAAGCCAGAAACTGCATCTGAAAGAGTTAATGGAACTACCAGCTCAGTGTTGTGCCAGGGCAGTTTATTTTGACGTGGTTCCCTAAAGCAAGGACCCTGGATTTCTTAAATACAAGTGAAGTATCTGCTGCTGGGGTTAAAAATAATGCCCTCTATTGGGAATGTTAGGTAGAGGCATATGGCCTGCGCTTGAACCCAGCAGCGCAGGGGTGAAGGCCCACATGGCTTTGGAACGCTTGGCTTCTCCATGCGCAGGGGGAAGAAGAGAACAAGAAAACAATTACTTTCTGCCCCCTCACCAAAACTGTTTTTCAGACAGGCTGTTGCCCGTCTCGGGTGAACTCTTGTTCCCCTAATGCTGCTTTTACTTTTGAATTACTGCCCTGGTGGTCTTCACTGAGACATGAGACAACAAAGGTGAACTTTCCCTCTTCACAGAAAAGACTTGTGTGTTACAACTGTCCTCATTAGTGCAAATAATGGCAGATCTAGGCCTGGGAAAATAAAAGCCACGGGCCACCTGCATAGTTATCCTGTTCACTCACTCATGCATTTGGCTGGCTGCAGCATTTTGTTTTACTTCGGGTCATGTTTGCTTTGCCATGCTTAAAACCTGGGGTAAAGAGGCAGGGATTATGGCACTGACAGTCCAGCTGTATCACCCATTGCTACTAATTGGTCAGCAGCAGGGAACCTTCAGCATCCTCGGCTCTCTATTTTGATAAGGGAAGCAATTTGAAATCCATAAACACAAATGTGTTCCAGCTTAGCCTCCTGGAACCTGACCAGATGCTTAAATACCGGCATCTTGATACCAGCAGTTTTGAAACCAAAGCTCCCAAATGCAAAATCTCCGTAACACTAAAATCAAAGAAAAGACCTGCAAAACCAAGCCTCAGCACTTGCATGGATTTTATGATCTGTTACTTATTTTTAATTACAGCTGCTCCTTGGTGGATTTCAATCCACAAAACTGATGGATGGATGAATGAATGTCTTTTAGGGTATCACCAACATTTTTTAAGAACGTTTCCTTTTTTCCAACTCTAAGGTCCAGGAAACTTTAGAACATTTGTATAACTCTTGCCTCGTGCTGCAGTAATGTGTGTCTTAAATCCAGTGACCATTTAGAGCAATGATAGTATGAGTGTATTGAGAGAGACCCATGTGTTAGTTTCTTCCATTCGTGCTACAAAAGTTGTATTCCCTAGAAATACACTTGAATGCTAAGTTTTTCTGTTTGATTCTTCTCAAATTTTGGCATGCAGGAGTCTAGCACTACTAGAGAGAATAAGGATACTGGTTGAACAAGAACCTGTCTAAGTGCCAGTACGGGACAATATAGAATGAGAAAGTGATGTTTTCTGCAGGAGTAGAAATAAAGGTGAAGTAAGAGGCAGGACTGAATGAGTAAGAATTTCCTATTCAAAATTGTTCTTAAGTCAAACATTTTGACTTAATGGCTTTTCATAGACATGTTCTTAATGATTTCATAGCTTGAGATGTTACTTCATACCATTTTCTATTTCCGTTTCTGTTTTCAATGTTCAATTCCCATCACTGTAAAAGGAGTACCTTTTTGTACTATTGCTACTTGAATTGCCTCGTGTGGTAAGATGGGTGCCTTAAATTCTGCATTTTTAGAGCTCTGTAATAGAGTGAGTCATTGCATTAGATTGTAAATGAAAAAGCCTGTTTATCTGTGGTTTCTCTTAAAAGCAAAAGAAAAAAGCTTGATCAAACAATTTTCTCTCAAATAATGAAGAAGAACCCTTGAAAAAAAGAAAACTCCAAATGCACTGTTTGATATCATTATTTACTTGAATCTCCTATTTTCACTCAAGTTATGCCCAGTCTGCTTTGCAGGAGAGATTTTCAGTTCTGTGAAAGAGATTCATAATGACTCAGCTGACTATTAGATTTTGTCATTAGAAAGAACTCTGATAGTTATCCTTCTGCACTATGGCTGTAATTCTGCGGCGTAAGTGCGATGAAAGGACTTTTTGCAAGAGTCTTGCATATCTCCACTCTGGGAGTGCATACAACTTAAAGCAAAATATTTAAGGAAATTTATTTATGATTTTTTAATATATGCTTGAAATTGTAACTTTCTGTAAAATTAGTAAACCTCTGTTTTACTTGGCATGTAATTGCAATAGAACCTAGAGTCCAGGTAGTTCAAGGTCTTAAGTGATGTTGAATATTGCATAAGCATGAAAGCATGAATTCCATACTTGACTTATGATCAGACAATAGTCAATGCAAGTGGGAAATGGGAAAGATGGGGTAGTGCAGATAGTGTGCATGCCACTCTTAGCCACTGGGGATCAGTAAAGTACTACTCATCCTCTCAAACCTCCATACTAGGAGATGCTTAACAGTTGCTTGTCTTTGTCCTATTCTAGACTGTTGGAACCCAGACCCACACTCACGACCTTCCTTTGCCAGTATCCTAGACCATCTCACCGCCATCGAAGAGTCTGGTTTCTTTGAAATGCCCAAAGATTCCTTCCACTCCCTGCAGGAAGACTGGAAACAAGAGATCCAAGAGATGTTTGATCAGCTCAGAGCCAAAGAAAAGGTAAGTAGAGAAAAACACTCCATGCTTGTGCTCTCTGGATTATAATTTTCCCATTTCATAATTCAAACAGGGATCATTGTTTAGTGCATCCCAGAATTAATTTTGTATGTGCTTTACTGGAGCTTGTAATAACCTGCCATTGATTCAGGGACTTAAGATGCACACAAGGGCAGATTCATGAGTAAAATAAATATCTGCATCCTGAGCTGCTACTCTTTCTAATATTGTAGCAAGCTGTGCAAACTGCTATGATGAGTTGTCTTCATTATTTAATGCATAGGATAACTATTTCACTGTAAGCATCTTAATTCAGAAGCCCAATGGTAACTCGTAACAGTAAAAGTTGGAGGGGTAGTTTCAGCATATATACTCTAGCAAACATTGCAGCTTTGGTTCCATCAGGTTTGTGTTTTCCAGGTTTTGAGCACAGCCAAAGTAGGTGGATTGTAATAAACATGAGTGCTACCAGGGGAATGATCTCATAACTGTATAATTGAAGTCCATCTGGGTAAATAGCAGGAAACAAAAATGCTAGCAGGAATAAAAGGAAGTGTGACCATCAGCCTTGAAGAGTAGAAGTAAAAAAGCTGAAGTTTTCTTCAAGCATACTTCCAGAAAGCACAGCTTGCTGCATCTATGTTAAGGTCTTTACAGTTATTGGTATGAAATACTGCAGTGGAATCACTAAAGTAGTAGTATTTTTCAAAGTTAACTGTCTCTTGCCTAAAAATAAATTTGTAATAAGCAGCCAACTTGATTTGGGCTCAAAAGTTGGGTTTAGGAGGCAGAGAGAAAGAAAAGGAGACCTTGGAACAGGGGAGAGAAGACCTACAACAGTACTTAAAACATTTCTATTCACATATTTTAGTAGCTTTAGGAAAAATAAAATAGCTAACAGGCGTTTCCCTGCTGCTGTTGTCCCATGGCGTAACTGTGTTGGAACAGTTTTTGAAAACCAGAAACTTCAACAGACAAACAGAAGTAGCTAGACTGCCCTCAGGTTTTGAGTACTGTATTCCTCTGTGGCAATGGGAAAAGAGAAGTTATATCCTATTCACCTCATGAGTAAAATGTACCAAACCTCTGTGGCGATGGGATATGTAACAATGATGTTACTAAAAAAATAAAAATAAATCTAAACTAAAATCTATCTGAAGTTTAACTTGAATTCTTCAGTTTTTGCCTTCTGCAATGGAATTAGCCAGCTGGAGATAATTATTCTGAGTGCTGAATTCTTTTGTCCTTGTGGTGAGAGGAGTGCAGTGTGAAGAGATTTTGAGATCTCAAGGACAATTTCAGTTGATTCATTTTGTCAACAAGGGAAAGATTGAAAAGTTTGCCTTATGCATCTTTATGCCTAAGGAGCAGCCATGCTTGGTGGAAAATGATGGGAATGACCTCCTGATGATGTTTCCTTCATTCATTTTTATGTTAGAGCTGTGGGTTTTGCTATTTTAAGATGCATGAGATGCCAAGGTTATTTTTGAACAGTATAAGTCAATACTGAAGTTAACATAGGTACTTACTGAAGAGGAAAGCAAGGATTAATTCTTTTCAATGTTATGAATACATCTTGCAAAATGGGTTCCCATATGCATGGTACTCTCCAGTGGCTCTTGTAAGCATGTTCATGTCAGATATCCAGCATATTTTCTCATGATACTGAATTTAGGATTCAGTGCTTTTTCACAGAATCACAGAATAGTTGAAGTTGGAGGGACCTCTGGAGGTCATGTGGTCCAACTGCCCTGCTTCAGGAGGGCCACCTAGAGCCAGTTGCCCAGGATCGTGTCCAGAAGGCTTTTGACTGTCTGCAAGGGTGGAGACTCCACAAGCTCTCTGGGCAACCTGTGCCAGTGCTCAGTCACTCGCACAGTTATAAAGTGTTCAGAGGGAATCTCCTGTGTTTTAGTGTGTGCCCGTTGCCTCTTCTCCTGTCACTGGGCACTGCAGAAAAGAGCCTGGCTCTATCTTCTTTGGACCCTTCCTTCAGGTTTTTATATACACTGATAAGATCCCCCTTCCCCCCACCCAAGCCTTCTCTTTGCTAGGATAAACAGTCCCAGCTCTCTTAGCCCTTCCCCACAGGAGAGATGCTCCAGTCTCTTAATCATCTTCATGGCCCTTTGTTGGACTCTTTCCAGCATGCCCATGTCTGTCTTGTACTGGAGAGCCCACAACTGAACACAGGGTACCAGGTGTGGCCTCGCAAGTGCTGATGTCCAAATTTTAATACTGATATGAAGGACCTTGAATGGTGTGGTGGGTTGACCCTGGCTGGAGGC